GAGAGACCCTTAGACTTTTATCTTTGGGGTCATCTGAAGGCAATTGTCTATGGTGTGAAGATACGAGATGTGCAGCACCTGAAACTACGGATACTGGATGCCTGTGCTGGCATTTCTCCTGCGGTGTTGCTATCAGTGTGTGAAGAGTGGGAGAAGAGGGTTGCATTGACAATCCAACACAATGGGCAGCACATTGAACACATTTTATAAGTGGTCAGAAACTTGTAAATAACTCATGAAAGAATAAAGTTACGTTGAAACCAAGCACACCATTGTTTTTCTTGTGACATTACCAATAAGTTTGATGTGTCACATGGCCCTCTTCCTATTGAAAAAACAAAAGTTGTATCCAAGATGGCCGACTTCTAAATGTCCACCATGGTTACCACCCATCTTGAGGAGTTTGCCCCCTCACATATACTAATGTGCCACAAACAGGACTTTAATATCACCAACCATTCCCATGTTATTAGAATGTATCCATATAAATGGCCCACCCTGTACAAAGGGTCAAAGTTTAGCTTGCAAACCAAACCTCTGTACACATGTTAACCATGCAGTTCTCACTCATTTAGCAGTAACAATGTTCTATGTCCTCAAATGAAACATTTGGGAAGTGTAGTTTAAAGAAAGTGTTTTGTTTAATCTAAAACATTGTAAAAATATTGTAAATCACTCATATGGCCAACAAGACAGAAAAGGGTGTTCATAATAGAGTGTTCATGATGAGTTTTCATAAATCTTTGTTTCATTTTCTCGTGGACGTCCACCTAAGACTCCCCCTGTTGGCCATTAAAAACAAAGCAGATCTACGGCATTCACTTCGTAGAACTCCAAGTAATGTCCATCTTTTACATGCAGCCTGTCATTAAAATGACATTTTATTACTACAGCATCCTGAGTACATTTTCTCCCTTTTAAAATTAATTTTTCAACAGAACAATATTAACAGTTCCAACACGAGCAATGACAAAGAAAAAAAAAACAATTACACAATTGGTGACTCCCTACTTATAAGAGTAACCTTAAGTTTTTTCTTGTATTTGAATACCACAGTAAACAATCTATATTAATGGGGACTTTTTGATCAGAATCAGAATCGCGTTCACTGGCCATGTATATGCACACACACACATACAAGGAATTTGGTTCCAGTAGATGGTGACTGTCAAGCACAGCAGTGTAAATAAATCTCAACAATGTAAGAGCAACACAATCCCCCCCCCCCCAAAAAAAACACACGCGTATGGATATATGCATGTACACATGCATACACAAAGCTGTGTAAACCAACCATAAATAATACATAAAATACAGGATGACAGAAGTGAAACAAAGTGAAATGAATACCACAGAATGCACATAAGGTGCAGTTGCACTCTGGCAGTGGGAGCAGTGTGACAATTCAACTGTTCAGGAGGGAGATGGCGAGGGGAAAGAAACTGTTCCT